AAACGAAATGGGAAAGAACTGAATAATGTATTTCAGTCAGATCTACTAGAGTAAACCAGAGTTACAGTCTGGAGGCCTCAGCTCTGGAGTTCTGCACAGCTGAGGCAGAATTCAAGGTGTGAATCCAGGGCTTTGGCTTTTCTCACTTCGGGGAAACTTGAATGAGCTTGAGTGAACTGCAGAATATGGGCTGAGAGCCTTTTAGGAAATAAACAGAAGATGTCCTAGAGTGTTCCGCCATCGCCTCATGGTTTGTCTCAAGCTGCAGCCACTGTTGGGAAAGCATCTGCAAAAGGGGCTGTTGAGGGTCACATGGAACACTAGGGTCCTTAAGGTGCATAACCATTACTGAACCCTTAACTCCATTAAAGTTAAAACTGATGTAACCTACCCCTTATAGAATGCTTTGTTATCGTGACAGTGGAAGCCCTAAGGACTTCATTTGAATTACCTTCCTTTAGCTGTTATTTACTTGGTCACTGGTAGAGCAGGTGACTGTCCACCCAGCCATGCAGTTAGAGGCTTTACCCACTCCTATTCAGGCTTCATTCACTTTACCCCGTCCTCTAAGAAACTTGTTTTTTTGGCAGGGTGCTTAAAAAGTTGCCATGCCTAATTGTGGAAATAAGAGCTAGTTACATTGGTCCCTTCCACAGGCTATTTTTTAAAGCGTTGAGCCTTTTCTTCCCTTTTATCCAACTCTAGCCTGTTCATAAGATAATATTTATAAAAGTACAGGCTTTATTATGTTTTCTTACTTTACATTTAGGCATATACTTTGCTATGTGTTTACAAACAAAACATGTTGAGAAAGTTAATGCTTTTGAATGATGAAATTACTTTCTAGGTAGTCAAAATTTGCACATGATCTGGTCAAAGAACTTTCTTATCATTAGCTTCACTATGCACACATGTATGCGTGCATGTATGTGGTGCTGGGATTAAGGTTTTGTGCACTGGGAGATGTTCTGACACTGAGCTTCCTCCATGGCCCCTCTTTGTGAAGTTTGAGTTTGATGAGATGCTATTTTATTACCTTTGGTTTTGTTTTGCTTGATTAGTCTTTTGAACTTGAAACTGAAAATTAAAAAATGTGTAAACCTTGAACTGCTAGTTTCTGGACTCTGTACAAGCAGTTGAGAAGGAAGTAGTGGCACACACCTTTAAACCCAGCACTCGGAGGCAGAGGCAGGTGGATCTCTGAGTTCGAGGCCAGCCTGATCTACAGAGTGAGTGCCAGGATAGGCTTCAAAGTTACACAGAGAAACCCTGTCTCAAAACAAACAAATAAACAAACCAAAACAACAACAACAACAAAAAGAAATAGTGTGACTCTGAGGGCCTTTAGTGAATGACTTGCAGACCAAAGACCACTAAGGTTAGGGACCTGTGGTTGTTTTAGTGATGAAAGAACAACAGGCCTCTGCCTGGAACTAAGAGACCCCTCCCCCACCAATGAGGTGAGTTAGTAGTTCTAATTTGAGTTACCTTGAAAAGTAGCTGTAAAAGTGTTACCTTAATCACTATTAAATAAAGGAGAGTGTGGACCATCCTTCTCTGCTTAACTTTTCCTTGTCAGAGTAAAGAACACTCAGGCAAAGATGGAATTGAAAACCAAACCAGACTTTTTAGCAGTCCCCTCTGCAGTTGAGATTCCTATAGACATCTGTGCCATAGTTTTCTTGGAAGAGCTAGACTGTAGTGACCGGGTACAGGAGGTGCTCTGAGTTAAAATTTAACCAATTAAGTACTAAAAGTCTCGTTTTTGTTTGTTTGTTTTGTTTTGAAACTGGATTTCTCTGTATAGACCAGCCTTGAACTCAACCTGTGTCTCCCAGTTCTGGGTTAAAGACATCAAACACAGCTAATTTTTATATCTTTAATTAGAATGTAGACAAAAGAGAGGTACCTTTTTCCTAATCTAAATTAAAGATGGAGCCATGAATGGGACCTGGGGAAATGGATATAGCAGGACTAATTATAGTTTGTAGGATCCTTTCTTTTGGAAATCCTTTTTAATGTCAAAGTAATTCTTTGTGATATACCTAAAGATATTTTTAATTCAACTTCTTTGCATTTGTGGTCAGGAAGGAAGGAAGAGGGCAGGCGGGCTGGTTAATTAAAAAAAAAAAAAGATAACTAGCTCTGTGGGCTGCAATGGTGTGGGAGGCTCTTTGATGGGATGTGTTGTTAGCTGCTTGTTTAATAATTTAATATCAGAATAGAATTAGCCAGGTATGGTAGGTAGTCCATACCTGTAATTCCAATACTCCGGAGGCCAAAGCAAGAGTAACAGAAGTTCAATGCCAGCTTGGAGCTGGGTTGGGTGTAAGTGACTTTGAACACAGCGAATTTGGGGCTAGCTTGGGATACATGAGACCTTGTCTTTAAAAAAAAAAAAAAAGGTAGAAAATACTTTTCCATGCCTCCAATTCAGTCACCAGAATTTATTATCATTTTTGTGCTGTTCCATTCTTAGTCTCTTCTGAAATATTTTAAAGTAATTCCTGACATTTCCATCCTAGTTCCCTTGATGTATGTCTCCAGGTATTGTGGATGTTTTCCTTTTGTTTGTCTCTCATCTGTGGCTCACGCTGGCCTGCAACTCTATAACAGCCTAGGCTGATCTGTAGCTAAGTGATTCTGCTTCAGCCCCCTGAGTGCTGGGGTTACACATGTCAGGTCAGCCCACATGGGGCTATGAGGATGCTTTATTTAGTATTTGTAATCATGTGTGTCTGTGTATGGATATGTGCACATGAGTGCAATTCCCTAGGAAGCCAGAGGCATCACATCCCTTTGAGCTGGAGTTGCAGGTGGTTGTGAGTCACCCCATGTGCTAGGAACTGAATTCTGGTCCTCTGGAAGCGGTGTACACTTTTGACCTCTGAGCCATCTCTCCAGCCTAGGTGACTTTTTAAACATGGGCTGAAAAACAAAAGGTTCTTAGATCTCACTTTGTTTATTGGCTTTTTTTTTTTTTTTTTTTTTTTTTTTTTCTCCCCTTAATGACAGAGTCTCTATTTAGCCTTAGTTGGCTTGGAATTCATAGAGATCCACCTGCCTCTGCCTCCTGAGTGCTAGGATTAAAGGTGTGTGCCACCATGTTCAGTTTAGGTGGCTTTGAGGAATATATGTCCCAGAAGCGAGGTTAGATCAGGGTGAATGCCATGGTGCTTTATGACTTCTTTGTCTTGTCACTACCAATACACCAATCTCCCTACACGCTGATGCTGGGCCAGCTTTTAGCCAGGTAGGAGCAACAGGCCTTGCTGTTGATGGTTAGAATCATAAAGTTTAGCCTTCTTTATCAGTGTTTCACAATATTTTTAGCTTTTTCTAGTAGGAAAATGTCTTCCTTGTTACATTTTGATTTCTTTAGTAATTGTAGTTTTAACCATGTGGCCACTAGCTTTTCTATTACCGCGATTGTTTTTGAGACTTTACTGTCTTTGTTCTTAGAGTGGTAGCTAGACTGGCCAGGGATGATCCTCCTGTTTTAGCTTCCTGAATACTTAGATTGTAGGTTTGTCACCACTCCCAGGTTGCCTCTTGCCAGTTTTTTCTTTTTAGATTTTATTTTCATTTTATGGTATGGGTGTTTGGCCTGTGTATATGTCAGTGCAGTGCCTGTGGAGGCCACAAGGAGGCATCAGATCCCCTTGGACTGGCTAATTCTTGGCCAGCATGTGGGTACTACAATTCAAACCCAGATCCTCTAGAAGAGCAACCATTGCTCTTAACTGCTGAGCCATTTCTGTAGTCCCTCCTGCCTCTTGCATAATTCTTTGGGCCTATTTCTACTTAATCTTTGTTTTGACACAGGGTCTCTCTCTATACCCTTGGCTAGCTTTGAGCTAGCTATGTAGACCAGGCTGGCCTCAAACTCACCAAGATCTGCTGAGAGTAAAGGGGTATGCTACCATTCCTGACTTTACTTAATCTTCTGATGACTTAAAATCAATTTGGACAAGTCCTTTCAAAGCATAGGTATTTTCACACACTGCGTATTTTATCTATTTTGTGCTATTTCTTACCTTGTTCACATCATCTTTTACATATTGGGAGACTAGATAGCCTCCCTGTCATCTTTCTGTGTCGTTAGTCTGACTCGTATGGAGATGGTAAAGGGATCAGGATTTCTTCTTATACTTCAGAACTGTGGGAGCTTGCTTGCTCTTCTTTGTTTTATATCCACTTTGAAACAAAGCAAACAAAGAAAATTAGGAAAGAATTCAGGTGTAGAGAAGTTTGGCTCATGGGCCCTGGTCAGAGGTAGGTAGTGTCACAGCTGAAGCTGCAGGTTGACTTAAGTCTTTGCCCCTCATTTTACCACCAACTTTAAGCAACCTATTGGATTTGGGACGAGAATGAAGGACTTTGTTTTTATCTTTTTAAAGTATATTTACTTCTGTATTTTTAACCATGTGTTTATGTGCCTGTGTGTGCAAGTGTGGGCACCGATGGCGTCTAGAAGAGCATGTCGGATCTTCTGCATCCGCAGTTACAGGTGGATGAGTTGCCTATTTGGGTGTTGGCTCCTCTGTAAGAGCCATACATATGCGTAACTGTTGAGCCTTCTTTCCAGGCCCAAGGATGAAGGATTCATCTTTTGGTTGATACATCAGTGAACGCCCCCAACCCCCCACCCCCATTTTTCGAGATAGGGTTTCTCTGTGTAGCTTTGAAGCCTGTCCTGGAACTCTCACACTCTGTAGACCAGGCTGGCCTTGAACTCAAGAGCTCCGCCTGCCTATGCTTCTTGGGTGCTGGGATTAAAGGTGTGCGCCACCACCACTGGCAAATCAGTGACTCTGAATGCTCTCATCACACAATATGTGCCATGTATGGGGCTGCTGCTGATTAGAGTACTGTGCAACTCTTAGACTTAGGGGACAAACATGGGGGCTTGCTCGTTCTTACAAACTGCCTGAGAACTTGCTGTTGTTGCCTTTTTAGAATGAAAAGTGATCTCATCTTGACCACTGTTTTGCCTACAGGAAGCCTGCAGATCTGCAGAACTTGGCTCCTGGGACCCACCCACCGTTTATAACCTTCAACAGCGAAGTCAAAACGGATGTAAATAAGATTGAGGAATTTCTTGAAGAAGTCTTGTGTCCCCCCAAGTGAGTATCAGAATGTTTGGACATAGCACAACCACTTTGAATAAGTCTTTGTCTCCAGACACTCTTCCTTGATGGCCTTTAGATTCTCACAGCATTAAATTTGGGATAACCAGGACTGCCTTGTAAGATTCATGCATCATCAGTGTCAGATGGGCTTTCTGCTTGGCCATCCTAAGAAAGGCTGGAATCAGTCTAAGCTAGAGAGTCCCTAATCTGGCTACTGGTGGGCAGGACAGGTTCCAGCTGCACTCAGTTGGAAAAATCTAGTTTGGCTGTGGTACTGCCAGCCCTACGATTTGCTCTGGGGCAGTTTTGCAGGGTGTCTGGCATTCCCTAAGTTATTCTAAACTCTTCAGTCCTACTAGCATTGTAATGGAAATTAAAACTACAGATAGAATAGAAGGTTTTGTATCTTACACAGCAGATGATAGCATTGTATTCCATTATAGACATTTGTGAGCCACCATGTGAGGGCTGGGCATTGAACTCAGGACTTGTAGAAGAACAGCCAATGCTCTAAACCACTGAGCCATCTCTCCAGCCTTATTTTACGTTTTTAAATCAATGCATGGGTAAAGTGGTATATCCACTTTGGCCAAGCAAACATTTTCTTACGTTTTCTACTTCTCAGCAGCAAAAAAAGTCAATTTTTATTGTTCCTTCTTGCTATAGTTTGCAGAAGAAATAGATACTAGGGAAAAATAGAGCTAAAACCAAAATATTCTGATTTCTTGACATCCATTGTATTGAATTGGACCTTGGAAATAAACATTTGTCAGTCTTCCTTTTTCTTTTTATTATTTATGTGTTTATTGAGACAGGGCCTAACTATGTTGCTTTGGCTGCCAGGCTGGCCTCAAACTCAAAGTTCCACCTGCCTCTGCTTCCTGAGTGCTGGCTGCAACTTGTTCTTTTTTACATAGCAATTTTATCTCCATTTTATTTGGGCAGGTTATAAAGCTGCTATACCTGGAGATGGATTTTTCTTTCAGTTTAAACACAAAGTCTTTTTGTTTTAGTGTTCATAGTGTACTAAGTTTTCTAGAGCATTTTTCTTTTTATTTATAGCCTGAAGGGTTTCTGAGTAAAGGTTTGTATAGACAGGCTCTTTATTTTTGTTGTTCATCCTCCTTCCTCTCCTCCTCCTTAAAAAAACAAGGTCTGCTGTAGTCTAAGACTGGCTCAAACTCACTTGTGTAGCTGCGGCTCACTCCAGGCCTAACGAATGCTCTTCATGCTGTGTTGTGTTTGTATGAAGCCCTGTAGGGATGAGGGGGTTGGACAGCAGAACTGCCCTAGCAGGTAGACCAGCCTGTCCAAAGGCAGTGCTTGGAGCCCTGAGCACTGTGATCCCACCCCTGCAGGGCAGATGCAGGCACACCGCCATTTCCTGAGATGTGGCCACCAGCGTAAAGCTGAATACACAGAACTTTTCTGTAAGAAACTGCAGGTCTAAATTTAATGTTTATGTGTGTGCGCCTGGTTGTATATGTGTGTATACCTGTGTGTGCAGGAGCCTGTGGAGGTCAGAAGGTGTCAGATCCCCTGGAACTAGAGTTATGGGTGGTTGTGAGCCTCCACATGGGTCCTAGGAATGGAATCTGTGTCCTCTTCTGCAAGAGTAAGTAGCAAATGCTCTTGATCACTGATCCGTCTCTCTGGCCCCAAACCTGGGTTTTTGACTAAATTGTGCTTTGCTACTAGAGATGAAAGGTTGGAACAGAAGATGATAGATGTCAGTGTGTAACTCCAGAGGCTCTATAGAAGACAGGTCATTGTATTTTGTCTTGTGGCTTCAAATTCATGATCCTCCTGCCTCAGCTTCACCAGATCGAGCATCACAGTGTACACTGTCATCCCTGGCAGGACTAATTTTGCACACTGGGCTAGAGGAGGACATGGATGCACTGAAGAGGCACTGTGTTCTCCGTACTGGCTCTGCTGGGATGCTTGGTGCTGTTGCCGACACTGCCACTGTAAGCTGGTTTTCAGAGTCAGGGAAAATCCAGGGATGCTGACCTTGGGAGTGACTGTCTCCACTCAGGTGGTGGGGAGAGAGCTCTGTACTTAGGAAGAACATTCATGCACATGTATGATTCAGATAAACTCATTAGATTTATTCACTAAAATACTTGATGGTAATGCTTATGGAATAAGTTTCTAGGGTTAAAAATTGAGAAATTTGGAGACTAGGTGGACCTGTTAAAAAGGAAACCAGCTTGAGGGTTTTTTTTTTTTTTTTTTTTTTTTTTTTTTTTTTTTTTTTTGAGATTGAGATTTTTAGAAGATAAGCCTTTACTAAATTTACAATAGTAAGCAGAAGAAATGTAAATAAAATATGTTGACTCCAGCACTCAGGTAAGCCTGGGAAATATATATTTATAGTGTGTATACAGTAAATGTGTGTGTGAGGGGGGGGGAGAAGGGGAGAGAGAGAGTAAAAGAAAACATTTTGTTGTAATACAGTTTCTTTCAAATTTTGTTTTCCCTTCATTTTAATTTAAGGGAAATAGACCAGACAGCATCCTCTAGAGAAAGTTGAAATAAGTAGTTTAGTGTGAAAATTTACCTTATTTTCCAGGACTGACCAGCTGATTGATATTCTCTGAAGTAGGGCTCAGGGCCTAAGTGTCTCTAGCCCAGACTCTGAGAGGAAGCAAACCCTGCTGAGGGAAGGAGGAATAGCCCAGCTTTTCCCACAGACTTCCCATTTCTAAGGAAGAAACACGCTGAATATGTGCAGTTGAAATTTAAACATGTAATGCCTGTTTAAAGCTGGTGTGTCATGGCTTTCTTAAAGTTGAAAACTTGGTCACAACACAAAACAGGGTTCAGTATAAAGTCTGACATCCTTCGTATTTATTGTGCAGCACTACTGTCCTAAATACTATAGCATATTTAGCACAGAGGGAATGGGAAAGGCTCGGGTGCTGTTTGGAAGCAAATGATCCACCTCCTATTTTGTCCTCAGCCGGCTGTGGATGATCAAGATGCTTGACCAGCCTGGGCTCTTCCTGCTGTCTGGTTCCCTCATGCTGCTGCACAGCACCAGGCCAGTGCCTGGCATACTAAGCACCCAGCTGTGGGAGCTGTGTCTCCCGTCTGCTGAGAATTTGAGTGTGACTGGCTTTGTTTCTTTGTGGTTCTTTTAAAGTTGTGCTCTGATAGTCCCCTGGCACTAGTGGTTGCCACACTGGAGGTGAAGGTGGGGTACGTTCCTTCCACCGAGGAAGCTCCCTTGGATGGCCTGCTTGAGAAGTCTTGTTCTAGGACATCTGTTCCTGTGTGTTTTCCTGGCCCTTTAACAAGCCATTTCCTTAGCATTCTAATCATTAAATGGAGGTGGGGAGTGGATGCCCGTTGACTGCCAAGAATATTAATATGTGAACAAAAACACCGTGCAGAGCTTTTGTTGTCTAAGAGGAAAAACATTTTAAAACTACCATAGAAAACAGATGGTGGCATTTCTTAGATCAGTAACTGTTCAAAGATGTCTGGTATCACCTGCACAGTGGCTTGCTGATTGATAGGATTTGGGGTAATTTCTCTGGAAGTATATGTAATCTAGTATCACTTTTTCTCTTTAGGTACTTAAAGCTTTCACCAAAACACCCAGAATCAAACACTGCTGGAATGGACATCTTTGCCAAATTCTCTGCTTACATCAAGAACTCAAGGCCAGAGGCTAATGAAGGTAAAGGATTTTAAATTGGATTGTCACAACAGAAAGCAAAATGAAACAAAACTGCACACAACAGTTTGACCTATTAGGATGACATTGAGTGTTTGAGTGTGTGGAGTTCAGGCTTTGCTGTAATTTTCAGATCTGTCGTCAGGGAGGGTGAAATTGCTGCTTTCCCAGCTCTAGTCCTGGAGTCTGGTAGATGTGAGATAGGAGGCCATTGAGTTCTCAGACACTGAGGAATTTACCTCAAGGGAATGGAGCTGAGCACTGAAGGTACAGCCAGAGCAGTGGGCAGAGTGGCTGTGGTGATGAGATAGATGGCTTTGGCTCTAACTGACTGGTTACTAAGTCACTTGTTTATTGTGGGTACTGGCAGCCTATGTGCCTGTGTTTTGTGGTGTCTCTGTGTGCTGATTGCTGTTCAGGAGCAGTTTTAGGAGTGGCCTTTAGAAGGTGATTAGACTCACCAGCCTTCAGATTTCTTTATATCATAAAACTAGAGGTTTTGTTTCAGGTCATTGTTACCCGTTTAGTAGTATAGATACAGTGTAGCCTGGGCTACATGAAACTGTCAGAAAACAAATAAAAACCCTGAACATTTAGGACAGCAACAAAAAAAAAAATAAATAAACAGACAAAAACCTGCCCTCTGAATATATGTTGAGTCTGCTCTGGCTATAGGCAGCTTGGCCTGGGCTCCAAAGGCTCTGGTAGCCTGTGGGCTGGAGCTGGGGGATGACGATCAGTGTTGTCAATAGCAGCAAATACCTAAAGTGAAGCACTTGTTGACTTCCCTGCATTTCAGTGTTCAGCTATTGGGGGGGGGGGGGGTTCCTTTCTGATATCTGGTTTCTTCCGTGAGGGAGAATGGGGGTCAGTTTTAATGCCCAAGCCTTGCTTACATCTATTTTTATAATGTGTTCCAGTGGCTGCCTTGGATAGAAGCAATTTTCTTGAGTAATTAGCTGTTTGGTTCCCTGACTAAAAATGTTTCTCTCTAAGCAGTTTACACCCTGAGCAAATGGTTAAGTTGGAGTCCCTTCTTCCCAGAGTGTGTGTTTTGCTCCCTGCTTGTGCAGGTCGATGTTTTCACAAAGCTGGTTTTTATACCCGGGTCTGCTAGCTGACCAGCCCTTTGTGCTCTTTCACAGTTGTTATGCTTTATTTCTGTGTGCAGTTTTTGAGGGCTGGAGAATTGGTTGGATTTGTTTTACTACATGATGGGGAGAAGAGGAGAATAAAATGAGTTTTCCTTTGCCTTGTGGGATGAGGGCTGGGGAAAGAGAAAGTGACTCACTTAAGTATAACTTTGTACTCTATTTTTTTTTTTTCTGTCAAGTTGTTATTGCCTTAAGTGGCCACCTACGCCTACTGTCTTTAGAGTGCTGCAACCAGTGTGAAAAGGACAGAGCACTTAATGAACAAGGCCTACAAGGCCTTATTTATAGTCACTACCTATCGGTAAATAAGAATTTGAGTTGCCAAGCTACTTTTTTCCCATGGGGACCTGTCATGGCCCTGAGACTTTAGAAAACACTTTCAAATTATATTTGAGTTGAATGGGTGTCCCCTGTGTGTCTGTTCCAGTTCTCTGTCTGCTGAGAGCAATTGCATGCTTTTAATAAGCCTAGGCAGCAGGGCATCCATCTCCCAACACCCACATACCAGCACTTTACAGAAGTGGATTGTCACTTTCTCGTTGACAAGTTTGGTTTATTAGCCTAGTAAGTAAATACTTGTAAAATCTAGCATATATGAAGAGTTTGAAGACCTATAGGAACTAATTCTAAGGGCTTAGCTGTCTAGATCAACATTAGTCTAGAGTGTAATGCCCAGATCAATGAGTTCCCCAAAGACCAACAAGGAGACTGAATCTAGTATGTAAAAGCAAAGAGCCTTTATTCAAGCTTGAGTTTGGACTCTGTCTGATGTAGTGATTTGACAGCTGAGAGAGGGTTTTTATCATAGCAGAGGTTGGGGTGAGGGATTTCTAAGGTTCAGGACCCCTAATTGGCTGGCATTTATCTAGGGGTGTCTTGGTGAAAGGGGATGGGGTATTTCCTTTGGAACTTTAGGTACTTTCCCCCTTGGATGGTCAGTTTTTGGGTGGTGCCCAGGAGGTCCCAACTTGCCCCAGGGTAAACTGAAACTTCAGGCCTACTATCTGGTTGGTCTCCATGAAGCCTTGGTAGGGCAGCAGTGCAGCCAGGTGGCAGGTGGGCACCAAGTTGCCCTGGGCCCCACAGATAGAAAATGGGCTAGGGCCCAGGGCAGTGCTTAGGTTGATGTATACATCTTAACAGCAGAAATGTTTTATGTCACACTCGCACTTCTGCCTTGGGTCTGCTCATTCAAACCATAGAAGTAATAGAGCAAGTCTTGCTTATTGGAAAAGCCAAGGTTGTGCAGGGATAATCTTTTCATATGTTTTTTTATTCTTTGAGACTATCATCCATGCACCCAGTGTATTTTGATCCTATTCACTCTCCTCCCACCAACTCCGCCTGATTTACCCCCATCTCCCCACTCTTATAACTTCATTTTTAAAAATAACCCACTGATTACACTTTGTGCTGTTTATATATTCCTGGGTGTGGTACCATCCCCTGGAGCCTGGGTGACCTACCAGGAGTCACACCTTTAAAGAAAACTGACTCTCCCTCCCCCAGAAGCCATCAGCTGTCAGGAGTTCCTTAGATAGGGACAGGGCTCATCGTCTCCCCCATTCCCATGCTGGAATGCTAACTGTCTTGTGCAGTGACCACAGATGCTGTGAGTTCATGAGTGCAGGCATCCTATCATGTCCAGAAGACACTTCTGCTGATCCTCTGACTTATAATTGGAGAGTAAATTCAATATAATTTCAGTATTGAATTCAATAATGGATCCAAGGTGGCTGGAATTATTTTATATAAAACTGTTGTTGTGATGTTTACATTATTATGTATTAAGAATGCTTCCTGCCACTCATGACCCCAGCACTCAGGAGGCTGAGGCAGGAGGAGACCATGAATTGCACCACCCCCACCCCAGTCCTTCCAGGCAAAACAAGTTGGCCTCAGGAATTTAGGGATACTCCTTATTTAATAGGACTTGTATCTGCCATTTCCCATTTCGACCTTGTAGATGGCCTCAAGGGGTTTTGGCTGTGACTGTGCTATCAGTGACTGTCCTTGAGCTAGATTCCAAATAGATGTGGGAAGGCTTGAGCCCTTCTTCCTCTTCTGAGATGGCATCTTAGGATGTGGCCCTCAGGTCTCCTGGACATAGACTACAGGCTTGTGCCACCTTGTCCAGAAAATCTATGCATTTTACTTTTGCCACAATTTCAAAGTCTGACCAGTTTGTATTTCCACTAACCTCAAAATGTTCATTATCATACATTTCTGACTCATGGGTGTCTGAATTTTAAATTTTGCTATATTTGCATAGGCCAAAATGTTATCTTTTATTTTCATAATCAATTTTAAGCTGTGTATGCTGTATTGCTCTTTGTTTTTAATAACTTCTTGGAGAGAAGAGAGGAACAGCCGTAACTAACTTGCAGACTGATCACTTTCTGGTGACCCGCTACTGCCTCCCAGTGGTTAGTTAGTATTGGTGTTTCCTTACCCTCCTGAGGACTTCACTCACTTCATTGGCCAGCACTGTCTTTGGAACCTCCTAGTGCCTGTTTGTATCTTTTCTGTTGATCATACCTTATGATGAACCATAAATTATTACTAATTTTTCTCTCCATTTTCAATGGTTCTTTGAGACAGAGTTTCTCTGTGTAGCCCTGGCTGTCCTAGAACTCCCTCTGTAGACCAGGTTGGCCTTGAAATCACAGAGGTCTGCCTGCCTTTGCCTCCCTAGTGCTTGGGAATTAAAGGCCTAAGCCACCACTGCCCAGCTGTTTTCTTTTAAGTACAACCATAAAAAGATTTTCATCATGCCTTTGATTCCTTACTAACCCTGGATTCTCATTAGTTTATATTACTAACAATAATTTATGTATCGTGTTTTAGCTATATATACTTTACCATCGGCCTGTATAATATTACCAGAAGGTAGTAGAAGGTAGTATCTGTTGCTGTGTGTTTTCAATCTTTTATTTTTAAATGATGATTCACTGCTGTGTCTCCAGGTCCAGCAGAGTGCACATAATTCCCCAAATTTATTTCTGAATTCTAGCACCCTCTGCTGTCTGTTTTCTAAAAAACAAACAAACAAACAAAAAAACCTGTTAGGATTCAGGCATTTAGAATCACACACGAGTGGTCACACCATACACAGAGTATGAGATGCCTACCGAAACAGGAAGATCCCACTCCGAAACAGGCTTAGTCACAGTGGGAGGTGGTGGGACCCCACTGTAGCTAGATGAGAGGCAGACAGACAAGGAAAGGAAACAAAGGGAAAAAAAAAACAAAACAGAAAGAGCTTGGTACACCTTTCAGCCATTGGATAGATGGTGGAAGTTGTAAAAGTCCTGTGAAATATGGGGATATGGAGTGCTGTTAAGTGGCCCTTTGGAAGGGGGTAGGCCCATTTCCATGAGTGAGGTAAGATCCAATGCCTAACTTCTGGTGTCCTGGAAGATCAAGGGAGGATCAGATGAGATGGCACAGGCTGACTTTTTGTGGTCCATCAAGCATAAAGTCGGGCCAGGGCTTACCCGAGAGTTACATGGTCGGTCCTGGGGTTTTTAATGGAGCCAAAAAAAAAAAAAAAAAAAAAAAAAAAAAAAAGGGAAAAACAACACCACAGAGGGGGAGCTTTGGGAACAGAGGTGGTGGGGGGGGGGGTTGGAGCAGTCTTACCAGACTGTGGTAGGTACAGGATCCCAGCGTACCTCAGACTGCCAGTGGACAGGAGGAAATGCCAGGAGAACCATCCAAGTCATGGCACCAATGTTATAATACCGCATGAGGTGGAACCATGGCCAGATCCCACAAGGGCAAGGGACAAACATGCCAGGCAGATGGACCTTGTTAAGTAGGAAGCTTTGTTGGGGGAAAGGGAAGGGAATGGGGAGAAAGGGGGGGGGGAGTACTGTCTGCCCCTTCAGAGGAACAGTGGGAAAAGAGAGGGCAGAAGTGGGCAGTGTTTGCCTTTTAACCCTTTGCACCTGCTTGCAGACTCTCCAGTGACATAGCAACCATAGGACCCTGGGCTGGCCAGGGCACTGCTTGACAGGCCAGCATAGTGCCTGAATCCTAACACAAACACAAAACAGAAACAACCCTCCTGCTTGATTGTGGAAATAGTGAGGGTGCCCTTGATGAATCCAGATCTATATGCTTGTCATCGTCTGTAATCAGATTTTTCTTTGGGCAGCTAGTTCACAAGAAAAAAAAATGACACGGGAGACTTATTATGAAAGCTCAGCCTATAGTTTAGGCTTGTCCCACTAGCTCTTATAACTTATATTAACCCATATTTTTATTTTTATTATTATTATTATTATTACTATTATTATTATTACTATTATTTTATTATTATCTACACCACATGGCTTTTTACCTCTCTCCCATTCTGTGTGTTGGAGTTTCAATGGCGTCTCTTTCTTTAAAGATTTATTTTTATTATGTATATAGTGTTCTGCCTGCATGTATGCCTGCAGGCCAGAAGAGGGCACCAGATCATATTACAGGTGGTTGTGAGCTGCCATGTGGTTGCTGGGAATTGAACTCAGGACCTCTGGAAGAACAGTCAGTGCTCCTAACCTCTCCAGTCCTTAATGGCATCTCTTGTATGCCTCAATTATTTTTTCTTCTTTTGCCCAGAAGTCCTGCCTAGCTATTGGCCATTTAGCTTTTTATTATACAAATCACAGCAATACCCAGTGTACAAATACAACATGGTATTTACTTAAGTAGAAACTTCATTCATTCTCCTTTTACATTTTAAAGGGGACTTTCTGTGTTGTACAACAATTGGCGCTCCAGTCTTCCCCCATAGATACTTACCGGCAAGCACAAAGTTCCTCAGGTGTCTCACATTTATTAACCAGTTTTGGAAAATAGCAACCACCAAACTTGGGAAATAGTGGAAGATTTCCACTTCCTCCTTGAGATTGGGAGCTAGAAAAGGGTGCTCGCTGTCACCATTTCTGAGTGTTTTCCTCACTACCAGGTCAGCCTAAGGGAATGAAAAGGTCTGTGTCTTACTTTTTTGTTGCTGTGCTAAGATGTCAAGGCCAAGGCTACTTAGAGAAGGAGGAATTTATTGGGGCTTACAGTTTCAGAGGGATAGTCCCTGGTCATCACAGCGGAGCATAGAAGCAAGCTTGCAGGTGGGTGTCATGCTGGAACACTGGCTGAGAGCTTCAGTCTGATCCAAGAGAAAGACAGGCAGACATCGGGAATGGCATGGACTTGATTCCTCCAAAGTTCATCCCCTAGAAACACACCTTCTCCAAAAAGGCCTCTTCTCATAATCCTTCCCAAACAGTTCCTCCAGCTTCTGACCAAACTCTTACATACACTTAGCTTACACGAATCCATTTATATTTTGTTGAATACTTATTTTCTCCTTGTTCACATGACTTCTGGACTCTGTTACTTTTTGTCTTTTAAATTCATTCATCTTTTGGTACCTCTAAGTTCTTACATAGTGAAGACTGTGTCTGTTGCCATAGAGAGACCAAGGGATGGATAGAGAGTTAGCAACTGGAAGAAGTGTTGGGGTAGGGTGGATTTATGTTGCTAGTGAAATACCTGATGTGAAGCGTGTAATACTTTTTGATTTAAAGGCTCCAACATTGTTCATACACATGTATGTATTACCATGAATGAGATCATGGTATTTAACCTTATTTTATCTTTTTACCAGATGTTAGTATGATTTCATTAATTTTGAGAATTATGGGGTAGTGGATTAGGATGTAAAAGAAAGGATGGGGCTATTGTCTAACACTCTGTCTCTCCCTCCCTCCCTCCCTCCCTCCCTCCCTCTCTCTCTGTCTCTGTCTCTGTCTCCAAACCAGAGCAACAACAAAAGGAAGGGGGTAGTGGAGGCTCTGTCTGTTGTTGCATTTTTCTTTCTGTAATGTCCCAGCTCCTTCTTCTAAGGCTAACTGACTTTGGCTTTCCAGGTGCATGCAAATGGCTTAGCAGTCATAGCATCTAGTCTTCTTGGCTCTCAAGGAGGCTGCTAGTTCAGTACTGTCGCTTTGACTATCCAGTCTGAACTTGTGCTTCTGAGTGTTACAAGGCAGAGTAAGACCCCAGGCTCCCAGGCTTTCTGTTCAGGTTGTCTGCTCAGGCATTGGTACCCCTTGACACATTTCTTCAAGGTAAATCCAAAAGTTCCCAGTGAACAGAATCATGCTCTCCATCTCGGCAAGGATTTCTCCTAGCTGTGAATTAATAATTTGCTTTCCCCACCTATCTTTGCAGTTTAAATATCAATGGGGCTGGGATGCATCATTTTGAGGGGGGCGGCGGGCATTTGTTGGTTGGTAAAAATAGATACCACTCTGATTTGTTTACACCCTGTGGGAATGATTGTGCAGGCAAGCTCCGGGGATGGGAATCTTCTGTCTTGCTCTCAGGCGCTGAGGGTACAAGTGAAGGCAGCACAACCCCTGCTCAGAGTCAGGCTTCCTCTCTGACAGTGTCCCATCTATTTCAGCACTGGAGAGGGGGCTCTTGAAGACACTTCAGAAACTGGATGAGTATCTGAATTCTCCCCTCCCTGACGAAATTGATGAGAACAGTATGGAGGACATCAAGTTTTCCACACGGAGATTTCTGGATGGCGATGAGATGACACTGGCAGACTGCAACCTGCTGCCCAAGCTGCACATTGTCAAGGTAGGCCTGCTGGAAGTAGGGGTGCTGCCTGGAGCAGTGCTCTCCTCACGGAAGCCATTCTCCATCCAGCCAGAGTGGACAGAGTCAGCACGTCCTAGAGCCAGCTCAATAGAAAATAGAGGGAGGAGGTTCAGGACTCTCAAGGCCAGAATGGGCTACATGAGACTTTGTCTCAGGGAGAAAAAAAAAAATGAGACTTGAGCAAGAATTTTTTTTTTTCTTTTCCTATGATTGAACACAAACTCAAAGATGTAATAGGTAACTCTGAACTGGACTGACACTGTCAAATCCTGTTTGGTGGTCATCACCACCTGGCCCTTTTCATTAAAAACCAAAAATGCCAAGTGGTTATTATGAGACACCATAGTAAATTATTAAATGAGCATTAGTAATGTAGTAAAGATCTAAGACAAGAAAAAACGGTTTTAGAAGCTGCTATGCAATCCCAGAATTTGGGAGATGGAGGCAGGAGAATCAAGAGTTCAAAGTCAACATAACTAACACGAGACTGTTCCAAAAAAATAGCCCAAACCAAAAAAGGAAGAAAACAAACTTAAAATAGTATGTGTTTAAAAAATATTTACCCAGTGATTATACTCAGCCATCTCCCCATGTCCAGGGCAGGCTTCCATAGCCACTGACTGTCACATTTCCAAGAGCATGGAGTAGCAGGCAGTCCTACTCTACATGTGAGGTGTAGCTTTGCTCTCTGTGCTTGCATGTTCGCCTGGGTAACCTTGGAGGCCAGCAGGGGGTACCTTTCCTCTCTCTTGGAGTTACAGGCAGTTGTGAGCTGCCCAACATGGGAGCTGGGAACAGAACTGTAGTCCTCTGGAAGAGCTCCCGCCCCTAGAATGTGTTGACAATGTTCACAGAATTAATAGTCACTTCAGTCAGACATGCCTAGTGTGGAGACTTTTAAGGTAGGTGTAACTCTTGATCTCTTGTATTTCAGGTGGTGGCCAAAAAGTACCGCAACTTTGATATTCCTAAAGGAATGACAGGTATCTGGAGATACCTGACAAACGCCTACAGCAGGGATGAGTTCACCAACACCTGTCCCAGCGACAAGGAGGTGGAAATCGCATACAGCGATGTCGCCAAGAGACTTACCAAGTAAACAGCACTTTCAAGCGAGATGCCTTCAGATTCCCCCAAAATACGCTTTCCTAACAGACTGCTCTGCCTCCTCTAAAGTAGAAGTGTATTTTGCATGAACATGCAGTTACTCAAGACTAGGATTAAAGATAGACAAAGTGTAGTAGTTATCTCCAATACACACTCCTAAGCAGTATTATTCTAAAATCCTCTATCCGGCCCACCTGCCCTGCCCATCTGCTCTCCTCCAATTCGGAGGTACTCCACCACAAGCTCGTCACACGAGAGGCAGTTTGCTGTCACGCTGGAGCCCAATCATCATGTGCATTCATAGTGTGTAGATGGCAGACTTGAGGTGCAGTGTTCAAGTGTTCAACCATTAGAATAGTAGCCGTGACATCAGTGGGCCCCACACTGGTGTACAATGCATGGTACAAAGAATATTTATGTGTTGGGGGAGAGTTGTAATTTTGAATAAGGAATATATATGGAAGGATTGCTACTGTGTTGGACATGTCGTTTCAGTGTAGTCTGTCCTGGAGTGTGCTGAAGGGTGTTGTTTTCTGGAAGACTGACAGCCTTCTGTAGAGAGACTGCTGGTTTCTTGGTAGATAGTTAATTTTGTCTAAAATGTGTCATTTGTATAAATCATAACATCTGATACTTTGTAGAAACTGAAAATTCTCAAAATGATAAGAGTAGATGGGTGGGTTCTCTATTGTGTTATCTGCTGTGGGTTTCACCCAGGGCCGTGCATATGTTTGCAACAGTATCATCGCTGCCTGCATTGTAACAGGTTTTTTCTTCTACCCCTCACCCCCACCCCTTTCCCTGTTGTGCTTGGGATGGAGCCCAGGCCTGACAAGCCTCTGTCTCTGAGCCGTACCAAGCCCCATCTCCCTCTTGTAAAAAGCCCCTTTCTTGGGTGAAGGTGTATCTTCCTGTCTTTGAGCAACACTGCAACATGCTCTGTAACTAGCATGCGAATCACTCAGAAGTTAATCCGGTTCAGAGTCAGCTTACTGAAATGTCAAGTACACTTTTCTCCTAAAGCGGATTCTCTGGGGTGGGGTGGTAGAATGCATCATCTTGCCCTTCTTAAGCTCCCATGAAGCATAGGTCACATGCTCCCATTCCACCTCCATTTGCATTAGACTTAGTGGGAGGTCCTTCACGACTCTTGGGATAAATTGTGGTTGTTCATAGTGAGTGTGCACAGTGAGTGTTTATTTCCCACACTTTTGCCTAATGTCAGTGGCCACACTGAGGAATGTCACTCTTTTTTTTTTTTTTTTTTTTTTTTTTTTTTTTCTTGCCATTTGTTTTGACATAAGATGTTTCTCTGAAGCCTTGGGGCTTGGTAGGTGAACCAAGATGGCCTCAAAGTTGTGGCAGTCCTCCTGCATTTGCCTCCTGAATGCTGGGATTATGAGCCTGCACCATGTCTGGCTTGTTTTCTCCTTTTTTAAAGGAAGTCTAAGCTGACAGTTATTTCAAGTCTAACAAAAGGGAATGAGTTGGTAAAAGGAGAGGTCTGCTGTGTCCCAAACAAAGTGGACTTTCTGAGTAGCCCTCCAGAGCCTGCTTGTGACCATACTACGTTTTTGGTGATTTTTTTTTTTAATGTAACTTGTTCAAGAAGTGCTGTTTCCCACAGGCTTTGTACCCCACACTACACTGCTTTAAGGCGGCCTGCCTTCCCTTTTGGTGTGCAGACAGTAAATAAACACCAGCTCTATGGAAGCATCTGACTCATCAGCAGCTCCCTTTTAAAACTTAATTCCCTTAGCATGGGCACAAAGGGAAGGTCTCCCTGTGGCTCAGGGAGATGCCTCGGCCACAGCTTTCACCCTTACTGCTGGCAGGCTGTGAGTACCCATGGCTGCAAACACTGTGAGGTGATATGTCTGGTTCCAGAGAGAGGAACTATCTCTTCTCCTTTGACCCTGCAGTGTCTCCATGGGCCAGAAGTGTCCCATCTTTACACAGTGACAACTTATCCTTGGGTGGGATTGCATCTTTCATGAGGAAGATTCCAGAGAATGAATGCCTGCTCTTTCTGCAAGTGACTGCAGGGAGGGCTTCTCACACTAGAGGTAGAGCCAGGACAGTGAAGAGGATGTGCTGAAGCTGGCATGAGATGCCCATCCTTGGGTGTTCATTCTCCATGGCTTCCTAATTTGCCTCATGGTTGCTCTTGCTGTCTCCAGATGTCCAAGGAAAGGAAGCCTGCCTTGGTTTTGACAAAGGCAGAACTGTTTTTCTTGGTAGAGAGATACATTTTAGTTTTATATGAAGAAAGTCAAACAACTTTGAGATTGGTTGGTAAATGGACAAAAGCTATAAAAAGGAAGGCTCACAGCAAGTGCTCACTGCTGCATCTGTGCACAGACCGTGATTGAAAGGTTGGAAATGTTGATCCCGTGCAGTTGGTGCAGTGTGGGGCTGGAATACAGGGACCATCTAGTCTCCTGTCCACACAGTGACTCCTCCCTTTGTGTTTATCCTCCTTCCTGTACAAGCCCTTCACCTCAGAGGGGGGTTCTGAGTGGATACTGAGAAACTATTAAACAGTGGGAAAGCCTCAGTGTTCTAACTACTATACCTCCCTTTGTTCTATAGATACAGATTTCCAATACAATGCAAATAAGATTTTCTCAGTGACATTAGCTTCCAGAGCAGTTTGCATACCATTATGAGATTTTGTGGTAGTGCACTAGGAGGATCAGCACTAGAATTTAGGCATTTATACTTCTGCTGAGTTATTACAGAGTCTCGCCAGAGTTGCATGTAGATAGGATTTATTTCTTCATATTTTTTTTTTTTAAAAAACCCACTTCGGAAAGATCTACAAAGTAAAAGTGAGGGGAAGTAGAAATTATTTTTTAGTGAAGATTTTGGTCCACACCTCAAGTGGCAGTGGACTCACCAGTGTCTTAGGCTGGCAATAGTCATTTGGGTAAAAGAGAGAGCGAGCGCTGGAGCATTTAAGAAACTCAAGGTAGACTTCTAAAGGTTCATCTTTATAATTACCAAAGTGGGAGGCAACTAAAATTATTTTATCGTGGAAAAAATTTAAGTCCAAGCCATAGAAATTCATCTCCCAAGCCACAATGCTGAACAGGACTGGAGTGTTCTTTATAGAATTCCTTGGGTAGGGATGAAGCTGAGCACAGAATGCTTGCAATTTCTTTCTTCTCTCTGGAACATCAACACCAGTATATTGCTGGCAGCTATTGTATTAAAAATAAAGTAAATAAATATATTTTCACTACCAAAAGGTTCTTTTTTCTTCTTCCTGGAAATAACTTGGTGTAGAAGCGTTTGGGACTACTGATCTGATTCAGCACATTTACCAGGAAGGAAAATGAAATGCTTATCAACTCAACAGGTGTAGGGAATGATTTAGTGAAAACCAATACTATTAGCAAAATAGGGCAAACTTAAAAATACCTGGTTTTTATGTGTGCGCACACTTGTGTGCTCATGTATATAGGGGTGCCTGCAGAGAGCAGAAGAGGGCATTGGATCCTCTGGGGGCTGGAGTGACAGGCTGCCTGGTGTGGTCCTGGACAAGAGCATTATTATGTGGTTTAACTGTCAAGCTGACTCTCCAGCCCCAGGACCAGTAATTAACATCCAAAAACTGAGACAAGAGCGTGAAGTGGAAGCCACGTCCCACCACAGCTGACACCCCTGATTTTCACAGCTGCTGTGGATCGTCCCAGTGGTGCAAGGCGTGGGAATGGAGGGGAGAGAGAACATATGTGTGCATGTGTAATCTAAGATAGTGTGCAAATTCCTATCGGGATTCAGTTGAATTTCTACATGCAACATCAAAGATCAAAAGTCAGAGGCTGGAGAGTAGCTTAGCAGTTAAGAGGACCCCGGTTTGAACTCCCAATACCCACATGGTGCTTCAGAACCAACTGTGGCTCCAGTCCTAGGAGATCTGTCACCCTCTTTTGGCCTCCTTGGGCACCAGGCATGTTTGTGGTACACAAACACACCTGAAGACAAAACACCAGATATATAAAATGAATTTAAAGACTTAAAAAGTCAGTATAATTGCCATATACTCATACTAAGCAAATGATAAGTTAGGCTGTTAACATCAGTTTCTTCAGAAGGAAACCTGGGTGATGACGGAAAAATAAGTAGGAAAAACTTAAGCTTATAAGCACCTGTTTTGAGAAAAATGATTATTGTTATAGTGGTTTTTGTTTGCTTTGTTTTGAGACAGGGTTTCTCTGTGTTTAATCTCAGCACTTAGGAGACAGGCAAGTGGATCTATGAGTTTGAGGCCAGGCAGCTTTACAGAGTGAGTTCTAGGACAGCCAGGGCTACCTACCCTGCCTCAAAAAACAACAACAAAAAACCCTAAAAAACCCTAAGAGAACAGTGAATTGTGTACAGAAACATCAGAATAACACCAGACCTCCGAATAGAAACCCCCAAAGCCAGAAAACATAGTGGTATTGCAAGTTCTGAAAGTAGTAATTGCCAAGTGAGTGAGATTACTATATCCAGTGAAGTTCTCTTAAAATTGAGAGAACAATGAGGACAGCTGAAGACAAGCACCAACTAAAAGTTCATGGCCACCAAGCCAGCATTGCGGGAAAACACTTAAAGGAGCCCTAAACACAAAGAGGAAAAAAAGACCGGAGACTTCAGAAGAATACATTTCATACAACTGCATGAACAAGAGAGCTAGAAAAGGGTCCATCAAGTCCAACACAGCCAGAAACCCCTACCACAGATAGAAGAGAAAGAAAGCAATAATCTAAGCCAGGATAAAACACAATTACAGCAGCTAGCATATTTCTATCGATACTCCCAAGTGCAAACAGTCTTCATTCATTAATTAAAAGATGCAAACTAACTTGGACTGAAAATCAGACCCACTCTTCTGTTCTCAGCTGTGGTGGTCTTTTGTCAGGTTGGCACACTACAATCACTTGGGCAGGGGGGTCTAGACATATTGTCTACATCATGTTAGCCTGGGGACATGTCTAGTGGGGATTTCTTTTTGGTTTTTTGAGACAGTTTCTCTGTGTAGCTTTGGAGCCTGTTCTGGAACTGGCTTTGTAGACCAGGCTGGCCTGCCTCTGAGATTAAAGGTGTGTGCTACCACTACCTGGCAAGAGAGGTTCTTGTATTTGTTGAATCATAGAAATCTTTTATCTTTGGTTAGGCTTATACCTAGGCTTTGGAAATTTTTTTTTTCTGATTTCTTAGAAAAGATTCAACTCATTCCCCACCAAAACTCCAGTAACATTCCTCACAAATATATATACATATATATCTCCTGAAGTTTATATGGAAGAACAAAATACTCTGAACAGCCAAGATAATCATAAACAGAGCAATGTTGGAGAGTCATAGTAACAAAAACAGGATGATACTGACACAAACTCAAGAAATATAGGTCAATGGAATAGACTAGAAATAAACTTCCATAGCTACTGCTACCTAATACTTGATAAAGGTGTCAAAAGCATACGTTGGAGAAAAGACAATGTATGTGCTGGGGAAATTAAGATACACGAACAAAACTAGATGCCCAACTCTCACCCTGTGCAAAAGTTGATTCAAAATAGGTCAGAGACATAATGTAAGGCATGAAACATATAAAATGTAGGCACAGTGTCCTAGTTTCATTTCTGTTGTGACAAAATGCCCTGCCGAAAGGCGTGTGAGGAGAAGGCTTTGTTTAGTTTACAATTCCATGTTATAGTTAATCATTGCAGGAAGACAAAGTCAAGAGCAGAGAGAAATTAATGCAGCCATGCCACCAGCTTGCTTTTTTGCTCAGCCGCCTTCCTTCACTCTTACACAGTCCAGGGCCCAGCCTAAGGAATGGTACCACCCACAGTAGGCTGGGTCAGTTAATGGACAATACCCACAAGCCAACCTGATCTAGATAATTTCTTACTGAGTATCTCTTCCCAGAAGATTCTAGGTTGTGACAAGATGACATTTAAAAGCTAACCACTACAGGTGAGGACATAGTATCAAGAACAGACATGCTGGATTGTATGGTATGCAAAGCAATCACCAGAGTGGAAAGATGCCTACAGAATGAAAGAAAATCCTTGCCAACTGTACATTTATCTGACTGGGGACTAAAAAAATGAACCTTCCACCAGTAAGTGGGCAAATGAACTGAGTATAGTCCGAAAAGAAACAAATGACCAGTAAATATTTGAAAGACCATTCAACATCCTTAATTAACAGGGAATGCAAATTGAAACTATATTGAGAGTCCATTTTATCCTAGCCAGAATGGCTATTACCAAGAAAACAAATGCCTCATGGCTGGAGAAACTGCTGAGCAGTTAAGGGCACTCACTCTTGCAGAAGACCTGCCTTTGCTTCCTGGCATCCACGTTGGGTGGCTCCCAACTGCCTGCAACTCTAGCTCCAGAGTAGCTGTCCGTCTCTGGCCTTTGAGGCTCCTGCACTTGTATACATACACACAGACACATTGTATAATTAAAAAAGGAAACAAGTGGCAAGTGCTAGCAAGGATGTGAGGAAGGAGAACTCTTACTCAGGGTGGTGGGAATGCAAGCTGGTGCAGCTACTATGCAAATCAAAATGGAGGTTCCTCAAAAAAACAATTTAAAATAGAACTACATCACCCAGCCACACCACTCCTGGGTATTTACCTGAAAGCCTCCAAGCCAGTGTATCCCAGAGATACTTCCACATCGGTGTTTATTGAAGCACTATGGTTCCTAATAGCTAAGCTACAGTTCCAGTGCAGGTGTCCCAACAAGAGAGGCATGTATTAAGAAAATGTGGCCGGGCGTTGGTGGCACACGCCTTTAATCCCAGCACTCGAGAGGCAGAGACAGGTGGATCTCTGTGAGTTCGAGGCCAGCCTGGTTGGTCTCCAGAGTGAGTGCCAGGATAGGCACCAAAGCTACACAGAGAAACCCTGTCTCAAAAAAACAAAAAAAAAAAAAAAAAAAAAATGTGGTTTATGCACAATGGAAATACTTTCCCTGCCTTGGAGCAGCCTGCTCCAGTCTCTCTCTGAAGTATTTATATTGTTTAGCTTTGCTAAGTAAATTTCCACTGAAACTGAAAAGAGGGGGAGGAAGAGAATAGGAAAGTTGTGTCCTCTACAGGAAAATGGATACAACTGTAACTAATCTACCATGTGAATGAACTCAGAATCTGAGCAAGGTAAACCTTCCGATTCCTCTCATTGGTGAGTCCTAGATTTTATATAGACACATACAGTCATATGTGTACAGACGTGAACTTACGTGACCGAGTTTAATAAAGAAACTAGAGGGAGGCAATGGTGGGGAGGGAGGGCTCCAGAGAGAGCTGGGAACAGGAGGGTGTATGTGAGAAGGAATTCAGATATGAAAGCAGAAGGGGGGTATTTGGAGGGAGGAAGGATGGGGTGTGTGATGTGTTCACAGTGTCTTCAAGCATCTTTGTAACTGTGCTTGCTGTCTGCAGTATCCAATAGAGACAGCTCACATGTCCGTCTGACTAGTGGACTGCCACGTAGATGGACAGTGAGTAATACGTGAGCAGGCTTGAGGGAGTGGCAGATGCCACAGCATGGATGAGCCAGATAAACAGCTCTGGGATACAAGCCATACAGCAAAGGTCACATGCTATAGGATTCTGCTTATTTTAAGTGTCCTCAGTACTGGGAGGTGGAGACAGGGTGGAGTTTGCTGGCCGGCCAGCCAGGCTAGCTAAAACATTGAGCTGTAGGTTGATGTGTTGGAGCAATCTGGTCTCACATGCTCACACATCAACATGGACACATACACATACAGGCATGGGGACCCTATCCAAATCAAAGCAAAGAAAGGAAAAGGTACAAAACAACTGAAAACCAGGAAAACAAGACCCACAAGAGAGGCATGGACCACAGCCTGGATGTGTGTGTAAACCCTGGTAGGGGAGAGCAGGGCAGTGGGGCAGGAGCCGAGAATTTCCTGAAAGCCAATTAGAAGAGTCAAACCACAAATCCACGAAACACATGTAAAGTCCATGTGAAGTAAAAACAACTCAACACACCCAAGCACATCATGGTGAAACTGCTGGCCATTTCTAACAACCAGACAAACGGTGCAGAGCCAGTGAGGGTACCACAGGGAGACCAGGGTGGCTTTGCAGCTGGGAGAAGTCTGCCACACTCAGTGAAGAAACCCACCACAAGGAGGACAAACAGGCAGAACGGGCTTTAACTCAGCCTGAGGAGGAAATGGGAATTGCTATGTAACCCAGATGCTAGAGCAGTTGCTT